AGTAATTAAGAGATGGTAGCATAGGAGAGGACAATTTTAGACATACACAGAAGAATAAATACATAACAAACTGAAGCTCTCATTTATACAATGGGAAATACAGTTACAATGTCATTTGTCTAAGCTCCACCAACTAGGGTGCTGAGGAATTTGGAAGTAGGCTGTCTCAAGTGTCACGTTTTGTTATCTTTGAATAGAAGAGATTTGCTAAGCAAATGCATGGAATTTTAAACAAAAGGTAGCTCAGAAAAGAGAGGAACCTGTTTGAATTTCTTAAGAGAACAAACATGTTTAGTTACCATAAAAGCATCCACATGAAAGTAATCACAATTTTAATTGCATACAGTTTTTGAATCTATCAAAAAATTTCCTTTTTTCTCCCAACATGTATGATGCACATAAGTCAGTTTCTTACAGTCTTTCTATATCTGAACTGCACTTCTATATCAATACTAAGTCATAACAATGATCTTACCATATATTTACTTACTTATTTGTTTTTTGGGGGGTGCCAGGAGTCAAACTCACAACCTCGCACTTGCCAAGCAGGCCCTTGTGCCACTAAGCTAAATCCCCTGGCCCCTTTACCATTTATTGAAAATAATGAAGATTTAACCACATGATCCTCCTTTGTTCCTTTTTTCACTTTAAATGCTTTACCAGTAAAGTAATCACCTGTCCTTCAATTTTCATTGAAGTCAAGGAGGGTCAGAATGGTTCCATTTAATATACTGTTCCATTGTTCACCAAAGTGCACAATACCTGCTGTTTTTCAATTTAGAAGATATGGATAACCGAAGTCTACTTAAATACCTGGGTAGAACTAAAGCCAAATACAAATCTTGGATGAGGTTGGTATAGGTTATAGTAACTTCTCATCCTCTCCAAATACGTTGTGTTACTGACCCCACTTTCTCCAGCAAATTAAAGCTAGATGGGAAAGTCAAGCTTGCACCCTTTACCTGAGATTAAGGAAATAAAACTGTGTGGGTGGAAGAACTAGAAGACTATAAAAACTTGAAGCAACAAGCAGCTGTAGAAAGCAGCTGACATATCTTTATGGTAATTCAGCAGCTAAATCCCCATTCTACTGTGATTCATAGTGACAGACTTTCACTGGCTGTGTCACAAACCTCTGGTGATCTGGCTTTATCCTTGACACAACCTGCTGGCTCTTACTACATTTGCACACATACTATAAGAAAGCACTAACATAAAAGGGTGATTTTCAGGTTAAAAATTTCTGAACTACAATTCTAATTTCTGTGATCTTTGTCTCTGCATTTATAGTCCATCAAGGGAAGCAAGTGTACTTTGCTTAGGCCTTATTAGTTCAGGTTGAGAAACTGGTAAAGCCAAGCAATATTTTGGTTCTGGCCTGTAGATCCAATTACAGTTATTGATTTTGTCCTAAATTTCTTGTATTCAAAAAAAAATTAATAAAATATCCGTTACATTAGTTTAAGCATGTATACATTTACAAGAGCCTGAAAAATTGCTGATATTTTCCACGATACAGTGATTTTTCTAAAATAGGCTCAGAATGTATAATGGCTCAATCCATAGAGGAAAAAGTCAACAATTTAACATAATTATCCATTTTTCATTATTTAAAGGTTGTTAGATTGAGACAGAGAGATAAGTAGAGCAAGTATTTCTTCCTCTTGTGGTTTCAGAGATAATAGGTACAGAGGTATTTCTGAAAAAGTAAAAGCACTTACAAATGTCAGACTTTGTGATTATTGTCATTTTTAGTAATCAGGACTGAAGCCTGAAATGGCTTAAATATGCCATTTGCCTAGTTACCAAGGTAATTGAAATTGGACTTGATTCTTATGGAAACATACCACATGCAACCAGACTGACATTACTCATTGGATGGATACATGCAATAAATAGCTGTCTGCATTATTATCACAAGAGGTGACCCTGAAAGTCAGCAGAGATTTTGGCAGCATTAGCTGTGTGACCTTCTCAAAGTCACCAATATCTCTGAGTCTCACTTTCTCTGTGAAATGATGGTATATTCAACAGTCAACTATCATATTAACTGGGGACAGAGTACAATGAAAAAGTTAAATTCTCAAATCATTTTGCTAATACAGTAAAACTTCACTGATTTGCACTGAGGGGAAGGATTGTCTGAATGAATAAAGCAAGTTGTGAATTGCAGAATGGGTCTGAAAAATGACAGCTTATTAATTTAAGTCTGTTTTATAATTCAAACTGACTATAAAACATTGCCTTCGTGGAGGTCCTTGTGAGAACTATTTCAGCAGATAAATTTTTAATGAATATAATATCTAATAAAATGTTTCCAGTATTTGAAAAGGGGTTTGTTCTCTTAAGGAAAAGTCCCATTAATAGTCTAGTCTAGTCTAAATTCTTCATTTACTTAACAAACCTCTCTTGTCTCCATCTGTAATAATACAAAATCAACTCATAGATTGGTCCCTGTTTAGCTTATCACAACTTATTATTTAAAGGGCTCCAAATCCACAAGTTTTCACTGTCATTTCTACTTCCCTCTCCATTGATTTGTATTTAGCATCATTCTCAACCAGTGGTAGAACAGAGTCAAATTCCTCTCTTGCCCCATTTTCATGCTTACTTGCAGAAAACAGCAGGTTACGAGAAGGGAGAAGACAAAGGCAAGCTCCTTGGTAATCCAGAAAAGGAATTAGCAATTGTTGGGTGCACATCACTGATCATACTATTATCCATATTTGAGAAAAGGTTTGATTTATTTCAAAGATTGACTGAAGAAATTACCAAGAAATGTAATATGAAAAATGACTGGCAGGTAGCAATATGGAAAAAAAAAGTGGCAAATATTTAGGGTCTACTGAAATATCCTCTATTTGCATATCAGAATTCAGATAATCTGGAAATTGTGACCTGGAAATCAAGTTACTTGATATAATTTTGCAGCAGTGCTAGCTGAGGAGAAAAATGTTCCCTTGTTGGTTGTAATTAGCAAATAGGTGGCCTAAAATTTTGTGGTCTTCATGATACCAAAATAACTGGGTGAAAAGGACATTTTAAGCCAAATATGTGCAGTTTTTTTGTTTATATAATATCAAACATCTGGTTATTTGAAACTTCTGGGCACTTGACATCATTGAGCCATCTTGATACAATCCACAGTTTCTTTTTACTATGCCGAGTATGAAGGGTGAGTTCATGAGAGCAATGTATCCATCCAATCCAGCTTAATTTTCATTCTGCAATTCACTTCAGTGATATAATTAGCCTCTTGGTGGCCTGCTAATAGCACAAGAAAAAGACTGGAAAGAAAGTACTAAATACTTTGAGTATCACGTTAGCCACTGTAAATCAAATGAACTGAAAACTTGGATAAATCGTCAGTGTCATCAGTTCACACTGGTAGGAAGTTACTGCTTTTTGACACATAGTAAAACCTTGATTAATTGGAATCCATAAGGAGTGATGGAATTTTCAGTAAGAATGCCCCTTCTGTTTCATTCTTGGCTATGCCATGTTTTCTTAAAATGCTTGTGTCCAGTTTCTTGCCTCAGTGAAGCAGCCTCTAATGTCTGTGGCTCAATCCAGATGGAGAGAAGTTATAGGAGAAAGAGCTGGATGTGATCTAACCACAGGTTATATCTTGGCAAGCGATAAAAATATCATTTCCTTGAGATCTTCTTTTTTTGGATATTATTGATGCTTTCTCATTAATGTGAAGTTCTGAGGGGGATAATTCAGTTAGTTGGGGTACTGGTTATGTGAGTTCTCTTTAATCAAGGTTTTACAATAAAAGGGTCTTGCTAATAACTGGTAAGATTATAAGCTGAAGTCAGTTGTTTTTAAATTTATTTATTTGAAAGTGCTCTGAATCAGTGTTTCCAAACCCATATTATATAGCAGACTGGCAAACTAACTTTTGCATCAGGATCCTGAGGAATGAAGAGGGAAAGAGAAGAGTAGAGGAGAAAAGTTTTGGCTTGCCTGTCTGTTGCTCTGTGGTTGGGAAACACTGTTGTTCACCTTAAGATGCCCATCATATCTTGATCATACGAGGGCTGGTCTCACATGCTTCAGTACCATTCTCGTACCCTTCGGGCCATGGAGAATTCTGTTTTCAGGTCCTCTCCTATACTTACCCAGTGTGTCTTTCCATGACTTGGTGTCTTGGCTTCTGAATGATCCCTTATTTCTTGTTGCTTGTATGATGCTTACTCATTCATTCTAGACCCAAAGAGTGTTAAGAACCAAAGGAATGCCAAGTAAGATGAGTTTTCTCATGATGGCAGCCTAGATTACTGTTAGACTTATTTGAGCCAAGAACATGGCTAAGGAAAAGCCAAATCAAGCATTCACACACAAAATATCACAGGTGGCGCACTTGTTTAAATACACAAAATATCATTGAAAATTCTCTATATGTGATGACCTATTGAAGAAAGACCCCATTTAACTTGAAAGCCAATTTGTTCTTTGGTTTTCAAGTTAAGTGGGGCCAGCCTAAATGGGCCACCACATACAGAGAACAACATCTCGACATTCATACACATAATTGAGCAAATCAATCCCTACTCAATCAACCAACTTCTATGAACGACCATCACATTCTAGAAAAAAAGAAACTGTAACCTGACTTTTCACTAGATGGATCTAGTTTCATACATCACTCAACTGAGGGAGATGGGGCCAGTTTCACAGTAAAGCCTTAGGCTCTTGAAAGCCTAGAGCATTGAAACCCATATCATGGCCTTTGTAAGGTAACCTGTGTGGTGTGCCAGGGAAGGGAAAGGTGTTAATGGAGGGGGGGGCTCTGTCTGGGAGTTTAAGAAGGGACCCAAGTTAGATCAAAAATGTGGGCCTAAAGTCTTTCTGGTTCCCAAAGCTGCCAAACAGGGGAATAACCTGGTCATCCCACTTTATGTGTGAGTCTTGTGCTCTCTCCTCAATAATAAGATAACAGTCTTGCCGATTACTCGTCACTAAGGGTACCCGGTTGTGGTGACATTGAGGCTGACCTTGGAGTCACCGCCCCCGCTGCCGCACTCTCCTTTGTCGTACCACCATTTGTTTTTCAATTTGTCCAAGAGGCCTTGCTCATTCAGTTTTAATACTGCCAGGTTAACAGCATTTCTTGAAACGATAAAACATAACTTGTAAGAAAATGCACAAATGCTTAGGAAATCGTTAACGTATAAAAAGGAGCACAAGAGGACAAATTGGCTAAATTTCACAGAACGTGGAGCTATAAAAATGTCTGTACAGCAAATACAGGGTTAAATATTGGAAGGTGGCATGGAGGATAACATTTGCTCAAAACTGAAGTGTGCGGGATGGGGAAATTGTCTTTGAGAAAAAAAGTAACAAGAACACCACATCCATGCAATTAACATTCGTCACATATGGCACCATAACTTGGCTTTTACCATTTAAATTGAAAAAGCCGTTGAACTGTAAAATTAAAACAGCAACAAACAGTCAGAGAGGACAACACAGAGAGAGAACATTAAAAAAATGGATGCATTAAATAGATGAGACCATAATTTACCGTCTTATTTAACTCCATGGAATATTGTAGATTTTAAACTTTTAAAAGTTACCTCAAAATCCACAAGAAAGAAAATGACAACAAAATGCATCAGGGTAGGTGGAATACTATAACAACACGGATATTGTTATATTATTCCACCCACCTTAATGCTGAGCCTTTAGGGGTTGCCACACCATAGCCTTTGGAATCCAGATTTCCACCAACTTTCATCGTATCACACGGTTTTCTCTGCTCAATGTACTCATTCATGGTCGATTCCAGCAGGAAGGCAAACTTTCCCTTGGACTTCCGCACTCGGGCCACCCCATCTGCTGTTGTTTTGGTAAACACAGATGGCTCTGCCGATTTCATGTAAGACCACATTTTCTCGTACACAGCAATTTTGGATCTCTGCAACAAAGAGATAAGAGTTCTTTGAACTGCCAAAATTGAAAACTGAAAGAGGACCTAGTGCAGTAGTTTTCAAACATTTTTGATTGCAAGCTGTGGGAAGAAAAACATGTTACGCTGCAACTGAGGAGATGCATTCAGACGTGTCAACATGTTTCTAAAGCAAGCTTCTTAAAGCCACATACGTTCTTGCTCTGTGATGCTCTTGGATATTGTCTATTTTAATTCACTTTAAAAAAAGGTTGCTCATAGTTGGCCATGGTGGCACACTACTGTAATCCCAGTACTTGGGAGGCGGAGGCAGAGGGATCACAAGTTTGAACCCTGCCCAAGGAATTTAGCAACCTAGTGAGACCCTTTCCCAAAATAAAAAAATAAAAGAGAGTTGGGGGTGTAGCTTAATGACAAAACCTTGGGCTCAATCTCCTCTATCACAGAAAGAAAGCTGGTTATTACCCACTGAATTTATTTTATGGACTCACTAATTGGTTAAAATTCAGTATGAAAAACACTTTATGTTAATCTTCCTCTTGATGAAGAAATGTCTCCGTACAATATCCTGCTAGTGATTTTCCTGTATTTGCCTGAAAAAAATCATTATAAAAATGTATGATCAAGCCAGGCATGGTGGGACACACCTGTTATCCAGGCATTTGAGAAGCTGAGGCAGGAGGATTGATGTAAGTTAGAGCCAGCCTGGGCTACATAAACAAGTTGAAGGCCAGCCTGCACTACATAGTGAGACCTTGTCTCAAAACAAACAGCCTCAAACCCCTAAATAAACAACAAAAAGGTTGTACAATCATTTTAGTCAGTCCTACTAGCATAGCACATAAATTATTGTAATAAAGTACTCCCTTATCCTGAGCTGATTCTTGTCCATAACTCCCATCCTGTAGCACTATATGCTAGAGTTATACAAAGAAATTCTATGGTTTCTTCTGTATAGTGATCCTTAAAACACTGCAAAGTTTTTAATATGTCTCCACCTTTTCATTATGTCGAACTCCACTGATTGATAATTTTTCTAGAATTCTCACAACTTTAATCTTTTGTTCATGGACTTATTCTAATTTGCGATATCTCTCTTAAATTGGAATGTCTAAACGTAACATGGCGCTCTTAGATATATGACCACAACAGAGACAAAATAAAACTACTTCTTGTTATTGGAGCATTACTTTCTATCAGTGTTGCTTGATTTTGACTTTTGTAGTTAGTCATTTATCCATTGCTTCAACAAACATTTACTGAGCACCTGACATAGATAAAGCACTCTAGTGAAAGTATAAAGCCTATATGTATATGAAGTATGATTGAAAACTAGTGAATATTTAAATTAACATTTATTAAACCAAAAGATACATTGCCATTAAGCTTCTGCAAAATAGTCTCTCTTGTTTTGAACACACTTACATGATTATTCTTGCCACTTTCTAAAGCAAATTCTGAGAGCTCTCTTTCATGAGTGTCTGTAGTTGCATTTTTTGCTCTTTATGATTCCATTTATCTGAAGTACAAAACCAGAAAAACCTGGTCTATGAAGTTTCCGTAGCCCAGGCAATGACTAGCTGAGCTGTGAAGAGGCCTCTGGAGTAGATGATGTTCCTTTTCTTGCTCTGGATCCTCTTTACACAGCATATTCCTTTCATTTATGAAAATTCAGCATGCCATATACACTGCTTTTGACAATATATAAAACTTCTCAGTAGTTATCAACTCAGCCTGTGTTTCTCCAAATCACCTGATTGCTTACAGTGGTGGTGGTGGTGGTGTTCTTGCCTCCCAGACCACACCCTGGCTGGCTCATAGGAGGGTGAATTAGCTTCTTGTTTCTCCTCTCAGACCCCACATGGCTTTTAGCTGTATTGTTGTGGCTGCTTCAACATCCCAAATTGATTCAAGATGTTTATTTTTCATGATCATTTTGGCTTTGTGGAAGATCCAGAAGTGATATGATGCCAAATCTGGTGAACGAGGTGGATAAGGATATACTGTAATGCTTTCATGATCCTGCCTTTCTGTTGAATGGCATTTGCCAGCATTTGCCAGTAGTCACTGTATTTTTTAAATCACAGTTTGTATAAATGCTCACAGAAGAGGACTTCCAGAGCTTTGTGAGAACTTTTTAGAACTGTTTGAAAGTGGCAAAAATAATGCATTATGTTAAAAAAGAGGAGGGGTATTTTGAAGTATATTAGTGGCAATATATTTTTTACTAAAATAGTGTTTTTTTAAAATTTAAATATTCACCATATATTTTCACCACTCTGTAATTTTTCAACTCAGGTTGAGGCCAGACCAAAAATTTTTTTTTGCTATCTCTACTAAGCCAGATCTTCTTCATCTTTACCTTCTTGAATTTTATTTCATTGTATTTAATCTCGGTTCACATGGTCTTTAGAACATGTACTAAATGCTTGGGTCCCTCGTTCTATGCTAGTCATTCTGGAGAACATAAAGGAAGAATAGTTACAATGACCCCAGAACTTCCAGTTGAGTTAGAAAGTAGGTCCTAACAATTAAAACTCTAATGAAAAATTCTAAAATGACATTTGATTACAGGTGAGATGGAGTAGTAAGAATCACAATCATATACTGTGCTTTCTAATGTCCTTGTCTGATATTTCCTGTCACCCACCCAAGCTTGTTTGATTAATTATTAAGTTGCTCTTTTCTGGACTTTGCTGCATTGCTTCTTTCTTGAGGTCTTCTTTGGTCTGTTCAAATTACTCCAAGGGAATGGAACTTCCAGAGCTATCACCGTGGAAATTAAGTATTTTGTTCGTGGCAATCAACCATTCTCTGAGTCACTCACTAAGTCACTGAAGCTGTTTACTGAGATGGAAATACACTCTTTTGCATAAAGTACAGCAAAAAGAAGCCATCATGGTTCAAACTGAATGAATAAAAGGAAGAGGAGTAGGAACTAAGCTTAGAAAGACAATTTAGAGACCACATCTGTAAGGCCCTGTATGTGATGGCTAAATGTTGGTCTATAGGTCATAAGAAATTATTGAAAGATTTTGAGGAATATGATAAGGTCTGATTTATAATTTTAAAACATTATTCTGAGGCTGTATGGAGAATATAGTGTAAAGTGGACCAGAGTGGAAGCAAGATTAGTCTGGAGGCTGTTCCAATAGGGGACAGATGATTGTGACTTGGGTTAGGGTTTGAGAACTGGAGGCAGAGAGAAGAGATTTGATTCAAGATACACTTTGAGAAACAACAAACAAGCCTTGATGATGGACATTTCCAATGAATGGACCTATAGATATTTTCTAACACTTTTAATCAAACTTACTATCTTTTAAAGCATGGCTTTCCTACGTTCTACCAGTAAAACCTCTGACCAGCCAAACTGGAAGGTTTAGTATTACTCCTCATTTGTTGCCTCATTATGCTGTTTACTGTAATATAGAAATACATATAGAATTTAACCTTTTGTCTTTCCATTCTCACTATCACAGCCCTTACTCAGTCAAACACTTCTTTTCTTTTTATCGGTACCGGGGATCGAACTCACAACCACACATTTGCAAGGCAGGCGCTTATGCCGCTGAGCTAAATGCCCAGCCCCCTAGTCAAACTCTTTTGAGCTTTTGCCTGGATTCTATTGACTTCTGCCTCCTTGCTTAATTTCTTTTATTTATCCTTCAACAATCCCTCCAAAGTGTAAATCTGATCATACTACTCTATTCTTTCAAATCCTCTGATAATTCTTTAATACTTGTAGGACAAAATGCAAACTCTCATGCATGATAATCGAGAATGCTCATGATCTTGGCTAAACTCTTATGTTCCAGTTCCCTTGGAATAGTCACTAAAAGTAAGCCTTATTATTTCATTTCATATGCCTTCAGTCATACTTTTGCTTCTGCCTGATTACTTTTTTTGTTCTATAAGATTAGAGCAAATTTCAAGTCTTCTGTGAATTTTTTAAAGTCTCTCTTGCTCCCACAGAAGTGCTGCCTTTGTTATTCTCTCAGAGGACTTTGCTAATAACCTTTGCTATAGAGCTTACTGTGTTGCACTGAGGTGAATTGTAGGCTACATTTCAGTCTTTCTCTTGGTAGCTGAACCTTTCTTGAGGACAAAGTCCATAATGTACTGATTTTGGTAGCACTCTTGGTAGCCAACACATTCCCTGATATACGGAAGCTACTAATGATATGTTTGATTAATAATCATAGTTTGGCCTGATTAGAGTAATGACCAAATTGCTGATCAGAGATATCATAAGCTTGGATAAAAATGGTTATTAGCATTAGCTTTATAGCATTGTAGAATCCTAGAAGTGAATTTTTCCTGATGATCATTAGGTTAAGTCACCAGCTGAACCAAACAGGATACATATTTTGCAATTTTCACTTTTAAATGTTACTTAGCCTGATTCTAATGCCAAAACAAGTAACTTCCTTTTATTAATTCAAAATATTAATATTCTTTAACATTGAGATCTTATCCATAGACATTTGAGCTCATATCATATATCATTCTCATGTGACACATAAAATAATTTCTAATCACTATAATGAAACACACTGTCAGTGACTTTATTATATTTCAATACGAATTTCCTAGGAAGTTGGTCAAATAATTGAGAAAAATTAAATAATTGAGATACATAGAAAGAGTTAAAAATAATGTAAGAATATCTGTGTTCTTGCCAGAAAGCTTAATAAGTTAAACTTTATGAAGCTACTTGAATTCTGCCTATCTGCTCTTCCCTAGTTGCATAGCTCTTTTTACTCACCAAAAGCAACCACAATTCTAATTTGGTCTTTATTTTTCCCTTGCACAGCTTACTTCATACCTTAACCAGAACAAATATATCTTCTTCATAATAGGTGTGTGCAGCAATTTAGTACATGAATGTATTATTCTTTACTTACTCAATTCCCTTTTGAAAGACTCAAATTAGTTGTATATTTTCATTATTACGGAAAGCACTATAGTAGGTATATGTTTTTGCATGTATATTTATAAAGAGGCGT